GGCTGCTCACGTGCAGCACGGCGGGCTGCAGCAGGGGCCGCGGGGAGGGCTGTAGCGGGGCCGACGGCGGGCTGTAGCGGGGCCGGGGCGGGCTGTAGCGGGGCCGACGGCGGGCTGTAGCGGGGCCGGGGCGGGCTGTAGCTGGGCCGGCGGTGGGCTGTAGCTGGGCCGGCGGCGGGCTGTAGCTGGGCCGGCGGCGGGCTGTAGCAGGGGCCGGCGGCGGGCTGTAGCAGGGGCCGGTGCGGGCTGTAGCGGGGCCAACGGCGGGCCGTAGTGGGGCCGGTGGCAGGCTGTAGCGGGGCCAGTGGCGGGGTGTAGCGAGGCCAGTGGCGGGCTGTAGCGGGGCCGACAGCAGCTGAAGCGGGGCCAACGTAGGGCCGTGGCGGGGCCGACGAGGTCAGGGCGGGGCCGACGAGGGGCCGACGTGGGGCCGAGGCGGGCCGGCGGGGCCTAAGCGGGGCCAACGCGGGGCCGACGGGGCCTAAGCAGGGCCAACGCGGGGCCGACGGGGTCTAGGCGGGGCCGACGCGGGGCCAAAGCGGGGCCTAAGCGGGGCCGACGGGCCTAAGCGGGGCTACGCGGGGCCGACGTGGGGCCTAAGCGGGGCCGACGTGGGGCCTAGGCGGGGCCGACGAGGAGCCGACGGGGTCTAGGTGGGGCCGACGCGGGGCCTAAGTGGGGCCGACGGGGGCTACGCGGGGCCGACGAGGGGCCTAGGCGGGGCCGACGAGTGGCCTAAGCGGGAGCACGACGGGGAGGGCGACACGGAGGGTCGCTAAAAAAAATGCGCGCCTCGGGGCGCGCTTCGGTGGGCCCTAGGAACAGGCCCTAAGAAGGGACCTGCTCTGATTCCATGAGAAAGTGTGAACGAGAATGAATGACTATGAAGTGAAGTGAATACAAATAGGAAACCCTAATTGTGTTGTACCCCCTATGGGATACCCCACTATAGCCTACAGAAACAAGTAAGCTATATGTTCTGACACGTGCCACGTGCGACGACCCCACGACCTGGGAGCAGCAGCTGCCGCTGATCGAGTTCGCGTACAACAACGCCACATCAGCCACGACGCAGCAGTCCCCGTTCTACCTGAACTATGGGCAGAACCCCACAGTGCCCATGACGCCGAGTTCGGACAACCCAACGCCACGCGCACAACAATTCGCCGAAATCCTGCAAGCTGCCCGCGCCAGAGCCGCCGAAGCCATAAAAAAGGCCAACGTCATCGCTAAGCGCAACGCTGATCGCCACCGCCGCCCCGTCACGTATCAATCTGGAGATTACGTGCTACTCGACACGCAAAATCTGCGACTGCCCGACGTACCAAAATTACGACCACGCTACTGTGGACCATTCCAAATCAGTCACATGATCACACCCGTCACCGCACACCTACTGTTGCCAACCGACTGGTACATCAGCCCTTCGTTCCACGTCAGCCTACTTCGCCCATACATCCCGACCATAAGTCAACTGCCGCGTCACCGGCCACAATCAATGACTCGCCCTGCATCAGAGCCGATCATCGAGCCCGAAAAAATTATGAGCCATCGGATCCGCCACCCCACGGGAATCAGGAGGATTGAATTCCTCGTTCGCTGGAAAGACTGTCAGAATCCCAACCACTAGACCATTGGGATAAAAGGGCTTGTTTCAGTAGCGGGTCAGTGCGCCCATAACCCCCCAGGCAAACGCGCCTGTAACCCCCCCTAGGATCGATCGGGGATCTCACAGTGTAGCTCTACTGACACCCCCCCACACTGGGAGGCCCAGGACTGAGCACAGTGGCAACGGCCAACATGTGCATACACCCGGATTCGAACCCGAGACCGCTCTGATACCATGTCAGAATCCCAACCACTAGACCATTGGGATAAAAGGGCTTGTTTCAGTAGCGGGTCAGTGCGCCCATAACCCCCCAGGCAAACGCGCCTGTAACCCCCCCTAGGATCGATCGGGGATCTCACAGTGTAGCTCTACTGACAAAGACCGCACGCCAACTGAAGATAGCTGGGTGCCCCTGAGCAACATCGAAAATCACCCTGCCCTGCAAGTGTACCTGAGGAGCCGGGGATTCCGCGATATACACGCACTCGCGTAGCGGAGGGGGCTTCTTGAGGGGGGGGGGTAGTGTAAGGAATTTTCTCGGCATTCCTTACGGAGCCGACTACATCGCGTACAGCAACAGCCGATTGTTCGCCCGTTACTGCTAACGGAACTTCGCCGACTTCGCGCGCACTGATTTACCAAACCTCGCACTGCTGGCATGGCCGTATCGGCCTACGCTTCGGGACTAGCCCGAGCCTCGCTCCAGCGTAGCACTAGCAAGCTCGCACGCACCGCGTTACCGTTTTGCATGTTTCGCGTATAAATGTTCGCTCATGCCTTCGCTCACATTTTGTACTCGTTTGACACCTTAGTGCAATTCTCGCTACCTCGATTCATTGCACCCGTAACACTGTAGCAGAATTAAACATGAGCTATATATTTTGTTGGACATTCGCTGTACCATCTTTAATTCGTGCAAACCACCGTCGTGAGCCTGTCGAATACAGCCAAAACATTTGACCCGAACGAGCCTGAGCCCCCTCACGTTCGCGCGCGCGATTTGGACGAAAGCCCAGCCCAGGTGCCATTGACTACTTTCGTTCGGGCAGAAGCGATGTTGGGCTTTGTCACAAAAGGAAAGCAGTTGCACCTGGCCGAACCTACCGGGCAGATATGGAATTCTCCTGGGTCTTCTGCTGCCGCAGGCGTTGTCCGAAAATGCCTCTCACCTTTGTTTCGTGGCGCGTTTCCGAAGCAGGCGAGATTACCGCTTTGTGGGCTATTGACGAACCAACAGCCATAGCCTAGCCAGGCATGGTCGCCGAACCAGCAGGGGCAGTTTGCAGCAGCAGCTGCCAATTATCAAGCACGGCGCGAACCGAACCGCGCTGAGTGTCACAACAACCAACCAGCCCCCAACAAGTCATACCGAACCGCACCAATGGCCGCCACAAACAATCTCGCCCAAATTGCTCCCTTTTGCCCAGTATCCAGTGGTACCGAGTGGAAACTCTGAGAAGCGCGGCTGCCCTGCTCTGCCTTGCCTTGCCCCCTAACACCCAACAGCAGCAACGCCATTAGCAGCACCAGCAGCACACGTCACTGCTCCATACCTAATTTCGCTCCAGAAAGAAAAACATGGTCCTCATTTCGCCTGCGATATGCTGTCCCACCTATCAAGATTGCACAACCGCCAGCTAAGCGCGGCAGCTCTTCTTAGGACTGAAGAAAGCGCTCAGATTGTATTATGATTCTTAGAGAGATGCTGCTCGCTCCACGTGCGACCGGGTCGGGTTAGTTAGTAGGCCGAGGTAGTGGCACGCCACGCCTCGTGCGATTTTTGAGGCGCGTCAAAGCACGCCACGCCTGCGCGTAAGGGCCGCAGCGGTCCATAGCAACACATAGTAGCCTCTTCAAGCCCGCATCCCACTTCTCAAACCCTAGTGGTCACCCTCGCATGCCAGTCGCGAGCCTGAGCAAGCCGCAAGCCGCGAGCCGCTAGTCTCGAGTCGCACGTGATGCTGTCCGGTCGTTCAGGTGAGCCACATGGGGCGGCGCTTAGTCGACTCAAAGAGCGGCTTTTCATAAAGCGGCTCTTTCTGTTCCATGAACCGAATGAGCGACGTCCGAGTCTGGGTCTCGAAGAAACATTCTTCGAGTTGCATCAATGGGCGCTTCTCATGAGCGACAAAACCAAGTCCTTTTCTTACCAGCTCTTTGCCTCCAGCTCCTCTCACCTCCCCGTTTCCCTCCCTCTCCGCTACCTCGATTCATCATCGCCACTCTCCCCTCTCTCAAATCTAGCACCCGTGCTGTACCTCGCTTCCATCTTATATGCTGCCACACCCTACTAGGGTTGCGCCTCTTTCCTTGCAGTTCCTACGTCTCCCCGTCCCATACCTGCCCTGTAACTAACCCCATCCTTTACTCCACCTCCCATACCCCCGTTCTCCCTTCCCCGCCCGTGCCCCGGCCTCCCCATATCCCCAGCAGCCCGCGTCCTCCCTCTCTTCCTCGCGTGTCCTCCCCTTTTGACTCGACTTAAAAGTCTCCCCTCTCTCCCCCCCTCCTCCCCTCCCCTCCCCTCCCCTCCCCTCCCCCTTCCCTCCCCAACTCTTTGCCACCCCCAACCCCCCTGCAACCCCACGACAGCCCGCCGCCTCCTAGTCGTGCTGCTCCTCCCTCTGCTCCTCGCGTGACCCACTCTTTCGACTCGAGTCTAAAGTCTTCCCATACCCGCCCTTCCCTTCCCTCCCCTTCCCCACCCCCACTCCCCCCCTTTTAACCCCACCTCAGCCCGTCGCCTCCTAGTCGTGCTGCTCCTCCCTCTGCTCCTCGCGTGCCCCACTCTCACGAACGCTCAATCGCCCCCCTACGATCCGTTTTTGGAATACATTCAGGGCATTTTGAACGGCTCGATTCCCGTGGGGAAGATAGACTGTGAGTGATCTGCTGCGCTTTCCCCATGTCCCCCCCCCCACATCCCATCCCCGTCACCTCCGCTCCCTTTCCCTTTCCTCTCCGTCTTACTCTTTTTTCATATAAAGCTGCGGTTCCATCCACCACTCCTCGCACCGCCTCACTCCTCGCGCCGCCTTCACTCCTCGCACCGCCTCACTCCTCGCACCACCTCACTCCTCGCACCGCCTCACCCCTCGCACCGCCCTGCAGGACCATCCTGTCGAAATTCGTTCCGCAAGTGTGTCCCGACCTCTACTTCTCCTCTCACTCTTCCCATTCAACAAAAGGAGGCTTGTTCTCACTCACTCTCTCACTCACTCGCTCACTCCTCACTCTCGCCCTCTCCCACTTTCTGCGTCCCCTCTCGCTCCCCCGCAGCCCTTCTCTTCACCCAGGCCAACAGGTACAACCTCGCTCTCAGCAAGAGCCTGTGTCACTTCCTCTCTCACACTCACTCACACACCCACTCCCTCTCCTCTTTCCGCGCCCCCTATTCTCGCTCCCCCGCAGCCCTGCTCTTCACCCAGGCCAACAGGTACAACCTCGCTCTCAGCAAGAGCCTGTCCAAATACGCCTCCCCCACTAACCAGCCCGCTCCAGTTGCCACCTCCCGTCCCTCCTCCTCCTCCTCCTCCTCCTCCTCCTCCTCCTCCTCCTCCTCCTCCTCCTCCTCCTCCTCCTCCTCCTCCTCCTCCTCCTCCTCCTCCTCCTTCTCCTCCTCCTTCCACCCCTCCTTCCCCACCTCCTCCTCCCCCTCTTCTTCCCCCTCCTCCTCCTCCTCCTCCTCCTCCTCCTCCTCCTCCTCCTCCTCCTCCTCCTCCTCCTCCTCCTCCTCCTCCTCCTCCTCGTCCTCCCCCTCCTCGTCCTCCCCCTCCTCCTACACCTCCTTTCGGACCAGCAGCTCGCGTCCTCTGCTGCATTCCTCCAGACCCTCCTCAAGATCCACACCTACAGTATCCAGCACACCTACAGTGACAACATATACAACTTCCAAATTTTTTAGATCGTTTCAAGGCAACAGGTTTATTGGATACAGCCTCAGCAGCATTCGGAACAGCATTCAATGGATCAGCAGCAATAACACAGCCAGTGCTGCTGCCAGAGGGAAGCTGAAAGCCATTCTCGCGTTTTTCAGGCAACCGAGGGTTCAAAAGGCGTTGGGAGGGACAAGTGAGGCGCTCTTTATAGCGCCGGACGCGAGCGTGACTAAAGTGAGCGTGAGCCAGTACGAGATTCAGGATCATAGTGAACGAGATGGGGACAGCAGGGAAGGCAGGGATAATGATGACGATGATGTTTGTTACGAGCCCACTGGAAACGTGCGGATCATCAAATACACGTAAGTACACAATTTCTGTTCAGCATCCCTACAAACCGCTCCCTTTCCCAACCCTACATCCATTGTCCCTCCCTCCCCAATTTTTGTTTCTCCCTCCCCCAGTATTCCTCCTATTGCTCCTGGCTTGTTTCCTCCTCTATCTTAATCTGCACGGTTTACGTGTTACAAAAGTACTGCTTTATTGCTCCCCTGCCACTCCTCCAGTGTAACGCTTTTTTGCCGCCCCCACTCTGCTGCTGTTCATTCTGCCATTCCCCCTCCTCCAGGACTCCCGAGAATGTCTCATACGTCAAATTCTATGTAAACAGCAAATGCTTACCCAATGTGCGGAAAGTGGAGATTCGTAACGCACAATACGGGCAAACGGGGCCGCTTGTAATGGAGGTCCCTGGCTCCTGGTGGCTGATAGACAGCGACGAGGACGAGGTGATTATACACACGATTATCACGAATGCAGCATCTGTTACAGTCGCCAACGGTCAAGACATGGAGACGGCAATTAACGCGATGACAAAAAGACCGTGGGAGTATTATGCGGTGTTTACGTCGAGCAGTAAGCCGAGCGGGGAGATGCGGGGTCAGTTTTGGAAGCCGTTCTGCCCATGGTGTGCCAATTTGACATTTACAGGATCAGCATAGAAGTGACTGCATGTATTATAAGGGATTGGTCGGTAGCCAGGTGTCCTTTGCCCATTTGTCCATTCCTAATAGGGGCTTACTTATCTGTGTGGCACTTCTTGTGCTACTCTGAGATATGTACACTCAGTATGCTGGTATGACACTAGAATCTTGGTGTACCTTACCCCAATTTCTGTATGGTCCATTTGGATGTAATGTTTTAACGTAACGGATTCTGAAGCACTAGAAGTTGTGGACAAGCATCAGGACCAATAGTCTTCCTTCAATGTGCACCCGCTATAGCGCGAACAATTCATTCTGCCACATTATGGTGCCAAATGGCCAACCAGTGGCGCCACCTACCCCACAGTGGAGGATAAGCTCCAGCAGCAGTACCCGAAGCGCGTGTAAGACCTTTTTACGCTGCGTTCCACTGTTCCCCATTCCCGCAGCAGCCGAGGCTTACTAAACTACCCACGGCTTGTCGCTTCAACTACAGAAATTCGGTGCTTTGGAGTTCTCTCCCTGTCGCATTTCGCATAATGGCGACATTGCTGCGCCTGAAGGCAGCCATTCTCCCGTCGCCAGTAACGTCAACGACGGAATTCGGAGTCGCATCCCACCCGCGCAACGTTCTCCTCGGTACCTCGCGTCTACTTACCCCGTCGCGCTCAACGTCGCCCTTCTCATTCAGTCGCACGACTTTCGCCGCTGGTCGGGCGACTCTGCCTACGACCGCGCTTTTCGCCGGCCCGGAAAATTTGCTGTCTGGTTCGGTTCCCAGCCTACAACGCAGGGCAGTTATCCGAGCCTCGACCGCAGCTTCGGGAAAGTTAGGCGCGGGAACCAATGTAGCGGCGAGTGCAACAGCGTCTACGGTTTCCGAGCCTGCGACAGAGGTTCGGGATGCAGGCTCCGCGGCGCAGAGCGCGCCGAACCTGGGAGGGTTCGAGTTTCCTGTGATTAAGGAGGCGAAGCGGGTGGTGCTGGTGCGACACGGGGAGAGCACGTGGAACGCGACGGGCAGAATTCAGGGCAGCTCGGACTTTTCCGTGCTGACCGCGAAGGGCGAGAGCCAAGCAGAGACGAGCCGGCAGATGCTCGCTGCGGACTCGTTCGATGTTTGCTTCCACAGGTGACTAGCCCGTGCTTACTCTATTCCACGGGTTACTAGCCCCGTGCTCGCTGCAGACTCGTTCGATGTTTGCTTCCACAGGTGACTAGCCCGTGCTTACTCTATTCCACGGGTTACTAGCCCCGTGCTCGCTGCAGACTCGTTCGATGTTTGCTTCCACAGGTGACTAGCCCCATGCGCGCTTTGACACTCAATTCCGCACATAAAACATTCTGCATATGTTCTTCTATTCATCATAGCCATCTGCCACGTCTTCCCCCTTTTCCCCCCTTCATCTTCTCTCCTCGCACCCATTCTCTTTTGTTTTGGGCAGCCCGTTACAGCGGTCAGCACGGACAGCGGAGGTTATTTGGGCGGCGCGCACGGCACCCATGATTCCGCTGCACGATCTGCGGGAGATAGACCTGTACTCGTTTCAGGTAGGCTCGATAAGGGAGATTGACCGTTACGTGGCTTATTGCCTTATGTATGTGCAAAATGCTCACCATTGCAAACCCATTTTGCACCGTACCCCACCCTACCCTACCATATTGGCACAGGGATTCTTGAAACAAGAGAGCAAGGCACAGTTCAGTGAGAGCTACTGTGGCAGAAGGACGCAGCACACGGGTACTATCCCGTGAGGGGCAGTTGGAACCCCCCCAAGCCAAACCACCGTTCTCCACCGCTGCACACCCCACTCCACCCCAATCAACCACAGGGCCTGTTCACGGAAGAGGGCACGGCACGGTTTGGTGAGAACTACCGCATGTGGCAGAAGGACGCAGCAAACCTTGAGATTGACGGGCACTGCCCTGTGAGGGAGCTGAGGGCGCGGGCAGATTGAACCCCCAAACCTATCCACCGTTCTGCACCGCTGCACACCCCCACTCCGCCCGACTCAACCACAGGGGCTTTTCAAAGAAGAGGGAAAGGCACGATTCGGTGAGAACTACCGCATGTGGCAGAAGGACGCAGCAAACTTTGAGATCGACGGGCACTACCCCGTGAGGGAGCTGTGGGCGCGCGCAGCGGCATGCTGGCAGGAGATCCTGAGGAGCGAGGGGCGCTCCGTGCTGGTGGTGGCGCACAATGCTGTGAACCAGGCGCTCGTGGCCACTGCCACAGGTGGGGATGTGTGTGTGTTTGTGTGTGTGTGTGTGTGTGTGTGTGTGTGTGTGTGTGTGTGTGTGTGTGTGTCTGCGGGTGGGCTTTTGAGGCGCCTCAAAAGGCGCTCGTGGCCACTGCCACAGGTGCGCTGAGTGTGTGTGTGCGGGTGTGTGGGTGGGTGGGTGGGTGCATGTGTGTGAGAGAGAAGAGGCGTGCTGGCAGGAGATCCTGAGGAGTGAGGGTCGCTCCGTGCTGGTGGTGGCGCACAATGCCGTCAACCAGGCTCTCATAGCGACTGCCACAGGTAGGGGGGGTGTATGTGAGTGTGCATGGGGGCACATGGGGGATGGGGTATCAGCGCTCCGTGCTGGTGGTAACGCACAATGCTGTGAACCAGGCGCTCGTGGCCACTGCCACAGGTGGTGTGTGTCTGCGGGTGGGTTGGTGCATGTGTGTGAGAGGGAGAGACAGCAGCAGCGTGCTGGCAGGAAATCCTGAGGAGCGAGGGGCGCTCCGTGCTGGTGGTGGCACATTATGCTGTGAACCAGGCGCTAGTGGCCACTGCCACAGGTGGGGATGTGTGTGTGTGTGTGTGTGCGCGTGTGCGTGTGTGTGCGTGTTTGTGTGCGCGTGTGTGTGTGTGTGAGAGAAGAGGGAAAGAGAGCAGAGGCGTGCTGGCAGGAGATCCTGAGGAGCAAGGGGCGCTCCGTGCTAGTCATGGCGCACAACGCTGTGAACCAGGCGCTAGTGGCCACTGCCACAGGTGGATGTGTGTGTGTTTGTGTGAGCAAGAATCTGCCTGAATGTGCATAGAGTGTGCCTGAATGTGCATAGAGTGTGTGTGAATGTGCGTGAATGTGCATAGAATGTGCCTGAATGTGCCCGAATGTGACTGAATGTATCCAGATGTGCCTGAATTGGCATGAAAAGTGCAAGGCTGTGCTCGAATGTTCACGACTGTTACCGAATGTGAATGAATGCGCATGAAATTTCCTGGGCTCAGTTCGGCAGCCAGCCAGGGGGAAGCAAAATTTTAGGAAGATGAGGGGAAGGTGAGGCGCGCGTCAAAGCCGGGTCAACGACTTTTGACCCTGGTTTGACCGCTCCGCGGACAACCTGCGCCATGGGGGAGCTGGCGCAGGTTGGAGGGGGAGGTTGGGAAACAGCGCCGCATGTCTAGGCACATTTGCCTGGACATTCCAATGTCCCGGGGCACTGTAGCGGGCTCGCCCCAAACAAAAAAGGGGGACAGAACCCCACGCTATTGGAGAATTCTGGTTTGTTTGGATAACCCATCCCATCGATGTGCTGTTTTTGTCCCGTGAACAGTGAACAGTGAATCTTGTGGAATCAAAATTTCTGATTCTTGTGCTGGAGAAGAATCATTTTCTTCTTCCGTCTCGCTAGGGCGGAAACTTTCCGCCAAGGGGGGGGGAAGAAGGACAGCAGACGGCGTATTTTTGAGTCGACTCAAAAATAGGCCAAGGGGGGGGAGAAGGACAGCAGACCGCGTATTTTTGAGTCGACTCAAAAATAGGCCAAGGGGGGGGAGAAGGACAGCAGACCGCGTATTTTTGAGTCGACTCAAAAATAGGCCAAGGGGGGGGAGAAGGACAGCAGACCGCGTATTTTTGAGTCGACTCAAAAATAGGCCAAGGGGGGGGAGAAGGACAGCAGACGGCCAAGGACACCTGCGCTTCGATTTCCGAAAGTCTTACCCTTCAGCCCGGCCTGCACTGTTTTGCCCTCGATAATGCGATTCGAAGCTTCGAAGAAGAAGGGAAAATTTTTTCTTCCGTCCTTCTTCCGTGGCTGCCGAACTGGGCCCTGATCTTGCATGAATGTGCAAACATTTGCATCATTGTCGTTAATAAGCATTCACCATGCAAAAATTCATTCTCCCTAAGACCTTTCCACTCTCCCCTAATCCTTCCTAATGTACACCCCCCTCTTCTCCTGACATTTTCCCAGGCCTTTGTCCCGACTATTTCCGCCTCTTGCTGTAGAGCAACTGCGGCGTCAGCGTGCTGGACTTTGTCACTCACTACAAGCCACTCACTACAAGCCACTCGTGATGAGACGTTTTCTGAAGCGCTTCAGTAACCTTCTCCCACTCTCCTTCCCATGCACCTTCCCCTTCCAGGCCTGGGTCCGGAGTATTTTCGTCTCTTACTGCAGAGCAACTGCGGCGTCAGCGTGCTGGACTTCGTCCCCCACTACAAGCCGCATGCCCGCACCCACACCCCCGACGACGCCGTCCCTCCGTACAAGGCACACGATTACAGTCACACTCACAGCGATGCTGCTGCCGTGCTGGTGGATGCTGCTGCTGCTGCTGCTGCTGCAGAGGAAGAAGCAGGCGTGGAGGGAGAGGAGTATTTGCTGCCTTATGTGTGCCTCAACCGGCTGAACCAGGTGTGTGCGTGGCAGCAGAACAAGGGTGAGACGCAGAGCAGGTGAGAACCAAGAGGCTCACAGAAGCAGGCGTGGAGGGAGAGGAGTATTTGCTGCCCTATGTGTGCCTCAGCAGACTCAACCAGGTGCAATTCCGTTTTCATGCGCTCTTGCACTGTTGTGAGAGAGATCGCTTTCTGCTCACCGCTCCCCCACCTCCTCATTTCCCCTCCCCACTCCCCTGCTCCCCCACCTCCCCTGCTCTCTCTCCCCTTACCCTGCTCTTCCTCCAGACCCCCGCGCCTCCTGTAATTACTGGGGGTGTATCAGGCGGAAGAAAGGCCAAGGCTCGAGTGATCCTGGTGCATGCTGGGGGTGGTGCAGATGCGCAAGACAGCCACACGAACTCCTCCCCTCCTCACTCACCTCAGGCACGCAAGACCGCCGAGCTGCTTCTCGACATGCGCGTCGGCACAGTCTTCTGCTCGCCACTGCCCTCACCCCCTCACCGCCACTGCCCGCTGAGGTTCACTGCCCTCACCCCCTCACCGCCACTGCCCGCTGAGGTTCACTGCCCTCACACGAACTTCTCAACATGCGTGTCGGCACGGTCTTCTGCTCGCCACTGCCCTCACCCCCTCCTCCCCATCCCCTCTCATCCCTCCCCTGTTCCCCTTTCCATTGTGCCTCCTCCAGACCCCCGCGCCTCCTGTAATGACTGGAGGGGCGTCAGGCAGGCGGGAGGAAGGCCAAGGCTCGAGTGATCCTCGTGTGCCACGGCGACACCAGCAGCTCGGCACAGCGCCGCTTCCCCCAGTCCCCTTCGGAACAGCTGAGCTTGCTGGGCGTGGTGCAGGCGCGCAAGACAGCCGAGCTTCTTCTTGATGTGCGAGTCGACACGGTCTTCTGCTCGCCACTCCCCTCACCTCCCCCACCTCCCTTTACTCCGTTCCCGTCCTCCCTCCCCCCTCTGCACCTCCTCCAGACTCCTGCACCGCCCGTGATGGCTTCCGGTGGGAGGAAGGCCAAGGCGCGAGCCATTCTCGTGTGCCACGGCGACACCAACAGCTCAGCACAGCGCCGCTTCCCCCAGTCCCCGTTTGAGCAGCTGAGCATGCTAGGCGTGGTGCAGGCACGCAAGACAGCCGAGCTGCTGCTCGACGTGCGAGTCGACACGGTCTTCTGCTCGCCGCTGCCCCGTGCGGTGCGCACGGCCGAGGCGGTGGTGGAGGTGCAGGAGGCAGCAGAGTGCCTGGGCGCCGACTGTGTGCCTCGGTTTGTGGATGTTGTCCCTGTGGAGGAGCTCAGAGAGCTGGAGTACGGCACATGGCAGGTGAGCTGAGTCCGTGTGCCTGCTTCTCGCTGCTCCCCCTCTCTCCACACTGTGCTGGGCTGTGCTGCGCTGTGGGGCACTGTTGAGTCGGCTCAAAGGCTGTGCTGCGCTGTGGGGCACTGTTGAGTCGGCTCAAAGGCTGTGCTGCGCTGTGGGGAACTGTTGAGTCGGCTCAAAGGCTGTGCTGCGCTGTGGGGCACTGTTGAGTCGGCTCAAAGGCTGTGCTGCGCTGTGGGGCACTGTTGAGTCGGCTCAAAGGCTGTGCTGCGCTGTGGGGAACTGTTGAGTCGGCTCAAAGGCTGTGCTGCGCTGTGGGGCACTGTTGAGTCGGCTCAAAGGCTGTGCTGCGCTGTGGGGCACTGTTGAGTCGGCTCAAAGGCTGTGCTGCGCTGTGGGGCACTGTTGAGTCGGCTCAAAGGCTGTGCTGCGCTGTGGGGCACTGTTGAGTCGGCTCAAAGGCTGTGCGCAGGGCGGAGTGCCTTTGAGCTCAAAGGCTGTGCGCGCGGCCGAGGCGGTGGTGGAGGTGCATGAGGTGGCAGAGTGCCTGGGCTGGGCGCCGACTGTGTGCCACGGTTTGTGGAAGTGGTGAATATGGAGGAGTTGAGAGAGCTGGAGTACGGCACATGGCAGGTGAGTTGAGTGGGAGTGGGAGTGGGTGTGGGTGTGGGTGTGGGTGTGGGTATGGGTGTGGGTGTGGGTGTGGGTGTGGGTGTGGGTGTGGGTGTGGGTGTGGGGTGCTTGGAAGACGCCACAGCGAGGGACTGGGTGCCGCGGTTTGTCGATGAGGAGGCATTGGAGAAGCTGACCGAATTGGACCATGGGGCATGGCAGGTGAGGGGTTTCGAGCTGGGGGATTCAAACTTGAGCGCATGCACATGAGAGCTGGAGTACGGCACATGGCAGGTCAGGGGGTTCGAGCTGGGGGGTTTAAACTTGAGCGCATGCACATGAGAGGTTAGCTGATTCTGAGAATTCTCAAAATCAACCTACAGTGGGTTTGCTGAATAGTTTGTCACTATCCCTCACTCTCTTCAATGGGCCTGCCACACGGTTCAACTCGTAACTCAGCTTTCCTCCGCACAGCTCATTGTCCTTACGATCCCCTTCGCAACACCCCCTCTCTTCAGGGAGCAATGATGGCAGAGGTGTCCGCACAAGAGCGGTGGGAGGATCAACTCAGATCTTCGCCGCCGCCCAACGGAGAATCTCTGCCGTCCCTGTGGGGCCGCGCTGAGAAGGCATGGACTGTCATTCGCCGCCACCTGGCAGAAGTGGAGCGCGCCACATCAGCAAGTGCAGGTGCTGACGTGGCAGCAGCAGGGCCAGGAAGTCCCCCTATTGAGCGATCTGAAACTGTTATTGTGGTGGGCCATGAAACAGTGTTTCAAGCGATGCTTGCTTCCTGCCTGAAGCTACCTCATGATGCTCTGGGAAGCTTCCGCCTCGACCCTGGGAGCATCACTGTCGTCGATTTCCCTGATGGTGTTGGTGAGCCCAAGGAAAGTAGCGAGTCTGACAATAAGGGGAACAGTGCAGCAGGAGCAGGAGCAGCAGGGCGGGGGATTGCAGGAGTGGTGGGGCAGGGTGTGGTGAGGTGTATCAACTACACTGCTCACTTGGGAAGATGGGCTGTGCCCGTTACCCTGCCTACTTCAAATGACGAGGACTTTTAATTGTTTAGTGGACCATGTGCTTTTATGCTTTTATTTTTTATCATGTAAAGTCACAACCAGGTTTTATCATACTAATTTGCTAGAGCTTTTCTGATTGTGGGATGGTATGATCTTTTGCCATCTTTCAAGTGGTGAATGTAATGTAGATAATGTCATCACATTAATTAGCCAACCACATTGGCTGAGACATCACAGCAGCTTTCAAGTGTAACATCAGTTACAACAAGTAACAACAGCCATGCAAACATAACTACAAACAGAGCCATGCCAGGCAGGCAACATCCCACCGCCAGCATGGGTCAATCCCACCCTAACCAACCCCAAACAACCTCCCAACGAGGCCTTTTCAACCGAACCTTCCATTCGTGATAACCATGATACCATGACATTATGCCATGCTCATATCCTCCACGGTGCCCCGTCGACCCACTTCAAATCTTACCCTGACGAATAAACCAGTCATAACCCCCAGAACCGCCTCCAACCACACTGCATTCAGTGTATCACTCTCCTTATCCAGGCTTAGGTCCCACACATCCCAGCCGGTGCACTGAACCTCTCTCCCTCCATCTCCAGCGCGAGATGAGATGGCCAGAGTGAGTTGCACTCATGTTCGCGAGGGGATGGGGTCTTGTTGGGAAAGAGGCACAGGCATGGGCACGTGCACGGGCACCGAAGCAGGAGGAGCGGGGGCAGGAGCAAGGTGATGACCTGCTGGGGCTTGCGCGGGAGGGGCTGATGATCCGTTGTTTGTAACCTTTCTGTGATGATGGAATGTGGAGGGAGAGGGAGGGGGTAACACAGGAAACAGAGCACTGGTTTAAGGGCGAGGGCGAGTGAACATGAGGAGCATGTGCAGTTATGGGGGGAAAAGGGGCAGATGATGCCTGAGTGTGAAGGCTGGCTGACAGGTCCATGTAGTAACTGGAAAAAGGCTTACTAGATAGCAATTCCAGTTCAATTAAATATGGCTCACTAATTCATACTCAAGATAGCAGTGATTCCAACATTTCAAAATTGACAGCCAAGACAGGCAAAGCTACACGCTCAAGCAGCATTAGAAACGACAACAGGTAATGGAACAAGGGGAGCGGCGGCAGCAACAGTAACAGCACCAACAGCAGCAGCAGGAGCAGCAGCAGAATCTAACCTTGCAACAGGGCTGGATCCTCGCGGATGGGCCTCCCACCCAGGATGACTCGCCAGCCACCCGACCAGGTTCTTCAGCATAGGAGCAGCCTGCCCGCTCAGCTTCCTCCCCTCCTTGGGATTCCACACCGTCACCCGCTCCTCTTTCCCCACATCTACCAGCTCTCCCACTCTCCGCTCTAGCTCCTGCGCGCCTTCCGGAAGCTTCCGCTTCAGACACCTAAAGTGCGCGTTTTCCGTGCCGCACCCGGCCTTTTTAATCACCGCGCACACCTCGCACCGCCGCCCCTCCACGCGCGACCGAGGCGCGCCCGACGCGGCCTTCATCGGCGGCGCGCCCGGGGCGCCAGGTCCGCCGGGTTTATCCATCCGCTGCCGTTTCTTACCGACGAACGACGAGTCGCCGACAGCTTCGGGCATTCCACCCGGACCGTTAGGCATGGGGGGGCCGCCGGGCATTCCCCCGTGGTGGGGCGGCTGGTGCTGGTGCTGCGGGTGCTGCTGCTGGTAACCCACCATCTGCCCCCCTTGCTGCACCATGCCGTTTTGCTGGTGGTGGTAACCCGCTTGCTGTTGATGCTGATGTGGCAACTGCTGCTGCTGCTGGTGCTGATTCTGCATCACGCCGCCCGGCTGCATCTGACCGTTACCGTCTTCTCCGACGACTTGCATCACCCAAGAGTTGCCGGCCGTCCCGTTCATTCCCTGTCCGTTTTGCTGATTCACCATTCCGTTCGGTGGAGCGTACATACTTCCGTCCTGCTGTACGTACTGTTGCTGCTGCGGCGGCGGGGGTTGCTGCTGGTACTGCTGCTGCTGCGGCGGCATCGGTTGTTGTTGATACTGCTGTTGATACTGCGGCTGCTGCTGCTGCTGCTGCTGCTGCTGGTATTGCTGCGGTTGTTGTTGATACTGCGGCGGCTGCTGCTGGTATTGCGGCTGCTGCTGATACTGCTGCTGCGGATCTTGTTGTCCCGGCTGAGCGTATTGCACGTGGCCTTGCTGTTGGTTCGGGTCGCCGTTCGCGACGGGGACCGTTCCATCTGCCGGGTAGCCGGCCGAGCTTACCTGGGCGTCTCTGACCGCAATAACAATTGCCTCGTTTGCGTTTTCGAGAAAGCCTTTGGCGTATTGCGCGTGGCTCGGGCTCTGATTTAGAAAAGGCTCGCAGATGGAATTTAGATCCATTAGCATTTCTGGTAGCGTGTAGGCGGGACTGAGGGCCTTTTGTCGGATCAGACTGCAACGGGACAGAAGAAGCACGAGGATACGCGTAGGAAAGCGATGAGCACATACAGGATTGGGACGGCGGGAGGTGAAACGCTGAAGAAACAACGGCTGATAGGAACAAGATCTGACGTAGCGATGAATCAAATATACTAAAAGGACAAACCAGGAACTGGAACGAAAAGAAATTCAACTTCCTTGACAAAGCCGGCACGTTGGCATCAGGCGGGGCAGGCCAAGTACAGGGAAAAAAAAGGCGAAGCAGTCCACGACGAGAACAGAGCCTTACTTAAGATTAAGAACAGTGCCCGTATCGGCTAGCATGACGCCCGGTTCAAGAATCAATCTCTCCGTGTCGAGCTTAGCGATTTCTTCAAGAAGCAACGCCATCTGATGCGGCGTCATCGGGATGGGATTGCCTGCATACTCCTCCGTTTGCCCTTGTTGATCAGGAGCCGACATGATGACGACTCCTTAAAACAGAGATAATTCTAGTGGTATTGGAAACACCAAGATCTGGGACAAAACCGCGATCGAAGAACCTGCAGAGAAGGGGAAAAACAAAACGGGTGAAAATGAACGATGGTCAGGCGAAATCATTCCTGGGAAAAAAGAAGGGCTGACCAGCAACCAGACAAGCACACCAAATGCTTCAACTAGTGAAGATCTAGGTCTCAGGTCTCTAAGGACAAAGCTCCAGCAATTCAAAATAAACAGATCCCTAGAACAGCCAGCCGCCATGGCGATCGATTAAACAAAATAAACATACAAATTAGAGGCGCCGCCTAATTTCTGAAGTTGGAATAAGCAGCGGATAACGCGGGTCGGTGGGTCCACTGGGAGCCAAGGGTCTTCCCTAGAGAGACCAAGGCAGGGAGGGAGGGGGGTTGGAGGAGCGTTTCTCTCAAGCGAGCCGCTGTTGGCGTTCGGAGTCGCTTTGTGAGAAGTCGAGTCGACTCATTGGGGTTTTTCAAGTGGAGCCGGGCTGGGCTGGAGTCGGGTGGATGGAGGAACCGAGGAATGGGATGAGGGGGATGCGCTGTGGTGCAATCCCTAGGCTTCCCCAGTGTCCCCCAAAGTCCCCCAGTCCCGCTCCGAGAGTTCCCCCAACTTGCCAGGTTCCCAGGTTCCCGAATCCTCCTGACTCCGGAAGCCCCTCTCCCCTTCCTCGCAAGTGCTAGAGCGTTCCCCCTTTCCCCCGAGCGCGCGGGTGCCCCCAAGTCCAAAAGGACCGCAACTCTGCTTGGAGTTTTTCCAAGCCCTCAAGTCCCGCCTCGACCCCCAGCCTGAGTGGAGTTGGATGGATGGATGGAGGTGCCGAACGCGCACATCCAATCCCCCCACACCACCCTCACTCATCTCCCTTGTTGGATGGTCACACGCACCATGAATTCAACCAACTCCGAAGCTGGTTTGGGAGATTTGGTCAGGTTGTTTGGTTTGGTTGGATGGTATGGCATGCTGGTCGTTGGCTGGCTCGGGAGGTCGTTGGCACAGAGATTTCGCCTCGGGATCATCTTGCGGGTGTTGTGTGTTTATGGTGGACGGTCCGATAGGGACGAGTGGAACGCGGAGATACTGCTGGTGGCCATAATTCTCAATCGGACAGTGGGAGGTGATGGGGGAAGCATGGACGGTCCGATGAGAACCTAATCGTCAGCGAAACATCACTGGACTGGGAAGGGGTTCGGCAACAAGGCTCATTTTACGGTAAGGTTTGAGGTACGACAAACGTCAATGGCTGTCATGGTGCGAGAGGAGGTGACGTGGCACAGCTCGATATGATCAGGGGATTCGCCTTGCGCAAGATACAAGGAAGAGACACGCGCGGAGCACTTGTGCGCACCGCGGAGCCCGTTTCGCGTGCTTTCCTCAAGCGCTTCGGTTGTTGGCGCGGCCAAGGGGTTCCCATGTTGCCGCCTTGGGTGGAGGTTTGGATTTCGTTTCGTGAGGCGACGTTTGCGACATTCGCAATCGTAGCCGAAGCTAATGTTCAGCTTCGACGTGAAGATAACGTCGCCACAACCGCTTTTCGAGGCTCGATTTGTTCGCACAATAGCCACGACTGTGAAGGAGCCAATTGCAACGTATAATAGAGTCGCAAAGCTTCGTGAAGGCTTAAAGCTTGCGTGGCTTGGGATGACACTGACGAATCGCTACTGCTCGGTCAGGTTGAAATCTCTCATTTTCCAGCCCAACAACCTGAAGGCTGCAAACATCACCATGTGCAGCGGCCTAAACGCCGCTCGCGCGAATTCATACTTGTTTGGTAGAGCCGCGTGTTGTTCTGGAAGTTGCACTGATCTCGCGCATACCGCTCTGAAAGGCAGTACACCTAAAAGAACCGAGATGCGCTCCAATCGCATAAGGGGGCTGTTCGCCAGCACCAATGAAGCGAAAAACCATGGGATAACGATGGGATCATGAAGGTGGGTCTCGTCTTCCTGATCCAGTCAGTTAGGGTACGTTCCTCCTTCAGCCTGGTCAGCCCGTAAAAAAGGTGCCGAGCCTCCCCAACCGTCCAAACCAACAATCAAAGCGGGTGTCTGGCGAACACCCCCATTTGTCAACCAAAACGAACTGCTCTAAGGCATGTGGAAGGGGGGACGCAACTTCGTCCCCAG